TTTAGAGTTATAGTGATGGGAAGGCTAAATGGAATCGAAAGGAGAAAAATGAAATCGAATGCCAAGAATTAAAGAAATGTGAGTTAAGTATATCTATTTCTAGTTAAGGAAGTTCAGATCCCAACCTTCTATCACCAAGGGAATAGTTTATTCAACTTTATTTTGCTACGATAGCTTATGTATATAAAAAGAGTATTTCCTTACTCTTGTGTGTGTGTGTTTTTTTTTTGTTGTTTTTTTTCAAACTGAAATAAAAGGAAAATTCCCAATTAAGACCAATGAAGACTAGGAAATCGTAATTGCTAAGACAAATTCAACTCAATTGACACATTGTTCAAAACACTCGAAGTGGTAGACAAAATGTAGGAAGTGCAGGATCAAAAATGGTCAAGCCATGGATAAATGGTTGTGGGTTGTGTTTGGGTAGAAAGGTGTAAAAAAGAATGCCTCCATCATATTCAAAATCATAAATGCACATGTAATTTTGACCAAGAGCTAAAACAAGTTCTAGAGAATGTAAACCACATGAATGATCACTCAATATAGGAATCAAGGCTCAAGAATATCCTTCAAACAAGGGTTTCACATCTCTATTGCTCATACAAGAAGTTTCAATCAATATGCACTAGTCACAAGGCATTAAGACACTTATCACAAAAGCCACCCAATAGATGAGGATTAAATAATCACTTGAGAACATACTTGACTCCCAAAAGTGACTATAAATTCTTTAAAAAAAACAAATCCTTTTCAAAACCCAATATGCTTAAAAATCCAAGGATGGCACAGTTTTCAAGAAAAAACTATTTGATGCAATGAGGGTATATGAAAAAGGCAAAGGTTTGCTTGAAAAAGATGCAAAGGTAGCTTAAAAAGGTTCCTCCTACACAGCAATGCCACAAGCAAAGAGAAGGGTAACAGTGCTCAGAAAAAGAGTCCAGTTCGCGACCTGAATACAATGACGTCGCAACCAATACAAACAGAGGCACGAAATCAAGAAAGGGAAACGAGGTCGCGACCCTAAATCACATAGGTCGTGACCTGGGATCACAGAGATAATTCCCTCACCAAAATTACTCTTCAAGTCGCGACTGGAATTAGTGAGGTCGCAACCTGAAGTCACAGAAGCTACCAATGCAAAAAATTTCAAACTAAGGCCATAATTAACAAGTAAAAACCCTTTTAGCAAGCATCAAATGATCCGATTCACAGCAATTCAACATCTACAATCAATTCAAAGCCAAATAAAGATGATGAAAGATTGGATTTTCGAGAGAAAACAATAACCACAGAGATGATGCAACAAAGCGAAATGAATTTCTCCCCACACTCAGACTTGACAGTGTCTGGACTGTCAACGGAAAAGGGAAAAGAACAGTAGCAACCACAAAATAGAAGGAAATACAAAACAGTCATTGCAGAAAAATGAAGATACAAAAAAGTTAAGCCTTTAGTTACAGACATCAAGAAAAAAAAAACCAAAGAAAAACTAAAAAGAAAGGGAAGACTATTCTCAGTCTTCTGCTCCTCCTCTCTCTTCTTGGCCAGTATCCCCTCCTCCTAGGCATCTCCTTCTCCCATCTCAGCATCAGTAGTAGCAGTACCAGCACCAACACTAGATGATTGTCCTGGACCTCACTAAAATAACTAGCCACAGGAATGGTGTTCTCCCAGAAAGCCCGCTCATACTCGTGGGGGAAATTGACCTGAAGAGCCCTAGCCATCTCCAACATCAGGGGATCCAAAAACCTCTACCTTCTAAATTCGTGAGACATGGAGATAGCTTTGTATGCATCGAACTCATCACTTAGGTTTGTCACTTGATGACTGAGTTCGGTAATCTGATCATTCAAGGAGGCGAGGTTGAGACTAGAGCCACCCTCAGCTGCCTCCTCTTCTTGACCTTCCCCAATCACCCTTTTTCCTCTTTTTCTTTCTCTGTTGGATTTGGAGGTGACATAGCATCTGGTCGTGAGAGGGTCCAAGAGAGTGTCAGACTTGCGTGCTGGTATGTCATGTGCTGCACACAGATGGTAATCAAGTGCGGAAACACCATAAGAGTTCGAATGTTGTTGATACAGCGATCAATCTGGTCCAGGGCAATAATGGGAATGTCAACCGGCTGCATGGTCATCAGGAGATGAAGCAGAAGTGCACATTCTTCAGAAACATCAGAAATGTTGGTTGATGGCATCACATTATAAACCATGAAGTTCAACCAAATCTTGGCTTCATCATTCATGTGCTTACGCTAAAAAACTTTCTGCCTACTCTCCTTTATGGTCCACCTAACATCCCCTGTCCCAGTGGTTTGGAAGACCTATGCCCAAGGGACTTCAGTAAGTCTGATCTTCCATCATTGGTATTCACAGACAGGGACATCGGGCAAATTGTAGAACTTCTTAACAACCTCCCGAGTTAAGAAACATTAATTGCCTCGAAAGGTGATCCTCCTGTGTCTGTCCATAACAGAACAAGTGTAAAATTCTCTCACCAACGTCAAATTGGCCTTGTTCCTCTTCTTCATAAGTTCCTAAAGGCTCCTTTGTTTGGCAAGCTCATAGAAATGGTACTGCTGCGTTTGTGGAAAATATCGCTCTTGAACCACCCCTCTGTTGGCAAATAACTCTACTGCTTCCTTTGTTGAAAGTCTGGTCTCTTCACGAGGGCGAAGCTTCTTCTTCGAGCTTGAAGACTCAGAGTTCTTGGTGCGAGGCATCTGGGCGCAAAGCTAACAACTAACAAGCAACCAAAGTAAACACACAAAACAAACAAACCTATGAAAAGAAACTAAAAACTACACTAAGCCCAGAAACCAAGCACTCCCCCACACTAGGCCTACATTTACCTATTACCAGACTCCCTTAAGCAAAATAGTTGAAGATCTTGAACTGGGACATTTGCATTTTAAAACCATTAGGGAAATCATGAGAAAACCCAAGTATTCATAATTGTCCATTATCAAAACCTATTTCTTTAAAATCCTCAATATGTAAAGTTAAAATCCATTGAGGAAAAAAAAAGAGTATGGAAACACCGGGAGTGAATCAGAGGTTCAAAACCTCCTCTGTGAACTCAAGTCGCAACCTAAAAACAGTGAGGTCGCGACTTGAGCAGACAGAGGAACATTTTAAAATTTTCAGAAAACATCAAGGTCGCGACCTGAAAACAGTGAGGTCGCGACAGGAATAGACAAAGGGACATTTTAAATTTCAGGAACTAGCGAGGTCGCGACCTGAAAACAGTGAGGTCACGACCTGAACCCAGAAATTTCAAAAAACGCAACACGAATCAGTTTGCTCAAAAGCCAAATCTTTTTCAGAAAATGCAGTCCCAAGTAGTCCGAAAATCAGTTAAACAATATTTTCAACGTCTAGCAATACTCCACTCAACCAAAATCAAAGCCCTAGCAAAACAACACTAACTACCCCTAAAACAAAATGCAGAAAACTAAACTAGGAAGAACAGAAAAACTAAAAACGAAGAGGGAAGACTAAAAACTAAACTAACAAACCTTGAGAGAGTGGAAGGATGGAAGAACTGAACTCAAGAGTAGAGAGGAGGCTTGATTTCGCACTGCAAGAGGAGAATCTCAAAGTGAAGGCACTCAGAAATCAACAGGGGCCGTAAGACTAAAGCAACTGAATAGTTGTAGAGGAAGCAACCGTTAAATAGGAGTTGAACAGTTGTGACTTTGGAGGGAATTTGAAAAGAAGCAGCTGTTGAAGAATCTATGATTGGAGGATCGTGACTTCAGAGAGGAAATGGGAGGCTGGAGGGTTGCGACTGGGAGGAGAATGAACGTGAGAAGGAATAGAAAACTGAAAGGAGGGTTACGTGGGGTTTTACAAAGGGAGGCTAGGGTTTTGGGTCCTTGCAGTGAATATAGCTTGAATAGGGGGCAGGTTCAAGGGGTAACATGGTAATTAGGGTGGAAATAAGAAAGGGTAAAGAGGTGAACTCGCAGAAAAATCCTGACTTTTCATGTCAGGTCTCGACATGAGGTGTACGAGGTCGTGATTTCAGGAGCCAGAGGCGGATTTAGGGTTTTAGAAGACTTCATGTCATGACCTGGAAACATTAAGGTTGCGACCTAAACTCACAGAGAGCCTTTACCCAGTTTCTTCTCAAGTTGCGACCATATATATTGAAGTTGTGACTTAAACACACAGAGAGCTCCCAAATTCAGACTAACCCCTAGGTCGCGACTTGAAAACAGTGAGGCCGCGACCTGAGTGCACAGAGAGGCTCTGACACTCTAGACCCTGAAAAACTTCAAATTTAAGTCCCTAAACCAAAATCACTTACCAAAATGCCTACCATAACAATCCAACTCTGCAATCCATCATCAAATTCTTAACAATTCAAAACAAAACTCCTGGACCACAAAACCCAACACCCAAAACACAAAACCAACTATTAAGAACTCCCTCCCCCACACACTCAAAGCAATGTATGGATTATGGTACACAGTCACACCAAAGCACAAAGCCAAAACACAAAACAACGAAGGTAGAAGTTATGAAGTTTAGTTTAAGACTGAAGCACAACAGGTCACCCTTCTCTAGAGAGGAAAACAGCTAAGCGCAAAGGTGGGTAAACTCAAGAGTGCAAAGAGTTGTGTGGTGGTGACAGAACAGAAGCACAAATACAATCATATCAAACTCAAGGCTAGGGAGATTATTGAAAACAAACAAAACAACAAAATTTAAAACTACTTCTATTGAGGGCATCCCTTTCACAGTTTCTAAAAGTCACAGCAAGGTAATTTAAGCACAAGTAAGTTCATGTGAATAGTAGAAGTAAAGGAAAGGGACGACCTGGCCTTAAGAAGGTGGTGTAGGCTCTTCATAGAGCTTGAGGAGATGCCCGTTGCACTGAAACATTTTTCTTGTGGCCTCCTCCTTGAGCTCTATCATCTCGAAGTTATGCACTTTCGTCACAATGTAGGGTCCATCCTAGCTCGTCTTGAACTTTCCCTTCTTGAATTTGAATCGAGCTTAATACCTCAACACCTTGTCACCCTCCTTGAACTTCTTTCTTAAGATGTTGGCATCATGGACAAGCTTGGTTTTCTTCTTGTAGATGCCTGAGCTGTTGTAGGCTTCTAACTGCATTTCTTCAAGTTCTTGAATTTGAAGGAATCGGTTCATGCCAGCCTCCTCCAAATCGGTATTATAGCTCTTTACCGCCCAGTATGATCGATGCTCCAGCTCCACCGGAAGGTGACAGGCCTTACCATAGATGATCTGATACGGAGACATACTGATTGGGGTCTTGTGGGTGGTGCGGTAGGCCCATAGTGCATCATCTAGTCGTAAACTCCAATCTCTGTTGGAGGGCTTAACAATCCGTTCCAAGATGCATTTGATCTCTCGATTTGATACTTCAGCCAGACCATTGGTTTGAGGATGATAAGGGGTGGACACTCTATGGGAAACCCCATACTTTGCCAACAAGTTATTGAGTAACTTGTTGCAGAAGTTGGTTCCTTGATCACTGATTAGCACTTTAGGTACCCCAAATCTACTGAAGATGGTGGACTTTAGAAATTTGGAAACTGTAGATGCATCATCTTTACGTGTGGGAATGGCTTCTACCCACCTAGAGAGGTAGTCTACGGCTAGGAGAATGTAGGTGTAACCGTGGGAAGGTGGAAAGGGGCCCATAAAATCTACCCCCCAAGCGTCGAAGATCTCACAAAACAAAATAGGTTGCTGTGGCATTTCGTTCCTTCTATTAACCCCCCCAAACCGTTGGCATTTATCACATGCCTTACAAAAAGTGAATGCGTCTCTAAATAAGGAGGGCCAGTAAAATCCTATATCTAAAACTTCCTAGCTGTTTTTCTAGCACTAAAGTGCCCCCCACATAAGGTATCATGGCAAGCCTCCAGAATGGCTCGAGCCTCTACCTCCGGAATACATTGTCTAATCACTTGTCAGAACATAATCTCCATAAGTGCGGTCGATCCCATATATAATAGGAAGCTTTGCTCCTAAGCTTTTGAACCTGAAAGGTGGTCAAGTGAGAAGGGATTAGACCAGTAGCAATATAGTTAACTAGGTGAGCAAACCATGGTTGAGAAACACAATGCACATAGAGATTGGTCAGAGAATGAATCACAAATAATATCATAATCAAGTACTCCCTTGGTTTCTAAAGGTAGTCTGCTCAGGTGGTCTGCCATATGGTTGACATTTTCGACTCTATCTTTCACTTCCACATCAAATTCTTGATGTAATAACATCCACCTCAAGAGCCTTGGCTTCGATTGAGGTTTGTGGAAAAGGTATTTTATTGTTGTGTGATTTGTAAACACAACCACTTTAGAATTTATTAGGTATGGTCTAAACTTATCAAGTGCAAAAACAATTGCAAACAATTCCTTCTCAGTAGTGGTATAGTTTTTCTGAGTTGCATCTAGAGTTTTAGAGGCATAAGCAATCACTTTTGAAAGAGAATTCTCCCTTTGACCCAACATTGCCCCCACACTCAAGTTCAAAGTATCACAAGAAATCTCGAAAGGCAAATCCCAGTTGGAAGAAGTCAAAATAGGAGGAGTAACTAGCCTATTCCTCAATTCATCAAAAGCAAGCTCACATGCATGGTCAAATTGAAACTCAATATCTTTTTGCAGCAGTTTGGAAAGAGGTAAAGCAATTTTACTAAAATCCTTGATGAACCTTCTATAAAACCCCACATGGCCTAAAAAGGACCTCAACTCTTTCAAGTTGGTTGGGTAGGCCAAAGAAGATATCACCTCTACCTTGACTTTATCTACCTTAATTCATTTTTTAGAGATTAAATGACCTGGCAAGATGCCTTGATTAACCATGAAATGACATTTTTCATAATTCAAAACCAGCTTTTTCTCAACGCACTGTGCTAGAATTTGGTCAAGACTTTTCAAGCGTTCAAAAGAATTTCCATAAACAGTAAAATCATCCATGAACACATCTATGCATTTTTCAATAAATTCAGCAAAAATGGACAGTATACAGCGTTGGAATGTGCCAGGAGGTTGCAAAGACCAAAAGGCATTCTTTTGTAAGCATAGGTTCCAAAGGGATAAGTGAAGGTGGTCTTGTCTTGGTCTCTAGGGTCTATAGGAATTTGAAAATATCCAGAATATCCATCTAGGAAATAGTAATGACTCTTCCCCACTAACCGTTCAAGCATTTGATCAATAAAAGGTAAGGGAAAATGGTCTTTCCTAGTGGCATCATTCAGTTTCCTATAGTCAATACAAACTCTCCATGAGTTTTGCACCTTAGTTAGGATGACTTCATTATTCTCATTTTTAACTACTGTGATTCCACTCTTCTTTGGCACAACTTGTACCGGTGACACCCACTCGCTATCAAAAATATCGTATATGATTCCAGCTCTTAGAAGTTTATCTACTTCTTTCCTAACCACATCAGAAATTAAAGGATTCAATCTCCTTTGGCTTTGTTTAATTGGCTTGGAATCTTTAGTTAGTAAAATCCTATGGGTACAAACAGTAAAGTCAATTCCCTTAATGTTAGCTAATTGCCAACCCAATGCCTCCTTATTTCTTCTAAGAACTCCTATTAAACTAGTCTCTTCATGCTCAGTTAAAGAACTAGAAATAATGACAGGCAATTTATTCTCAGGCTCAAGATAAGCATACTTGAGGTTAGGAGGTAAATCTTTTAGTTCTAAAGTCGGGGGTTGAACAACAAAGGGAATTAGAGTAGTAAAATCAACAGAGTTAGAGAAACTCCCCTTTGTAGACCCTTTTGAGATGCATTCACCAGCTTCACTTGGATCGACTATGCTTGCTTCAGTCCTATTAGATGTTGTACCAAGCTCGAGTTGGTCTACAGAAGCAACAACCTTAAGCTGGTCCACCTCCATACCTAAATCATTATTAGAGATTAGATCATTCAAAAATCATAAAGTATGGGGTGTAATTTTAGAATATGTATGAGTAACAATTGAATCAGAAAGTGTTGGCCCTTTAACCAAAGTCTTTAAGACATGAGGTGGTATAGCAATTGAAGTTTAAAGTTCAACAGGTGAAACAGTTGAATCAGGTCATGACCTCATATACCCAGGTCGTGACCTCACATCACAGAAGCTACCTTCTTGGAATGCCTGGGTTGAAGTCACGACTCGAGAACCCTCAGGTCGCGACTCAATTTAATAGAGGCCACCTTCATCACAGTCCTGGTATGGGGTCGCGACTTGATAATCCTCAGGTCACGACCTCAGGTCATAGAGGCTCATATCCTCGCATTTTACTCCAGTCTCAGTACTCACCACTTCTTGAAAATCTGCATCATTAACTAACAAACTCCTTCCAAGGCCAATGTCAGTTGTAAACGCAGAAATGGAATCAAAATTTGATGGAAAAGAAAAGTCTTGAGAAATAAAAAGCATGCTATCAATTTCTAGAGAATTAATGCATGGCACCTCATCTATGCAAGAACTAGAAAATGAATAAACAAAAGAGAGGGAATTGAAATACTCATCATATGCACTCAGAGATGAATCAAGCTTATAAGATTCATATGATGATGCAGCAGAAGAATCAATCAACTTAGGTGAACTCATGTCATAACTATCATACATATGCAGCTCATGCTCATCCCTAGCTTGCTCAACAGCTAAATCAATAGCATTTAAACCTATGAATGCAGAATTATCAAAAGGATAATGCATGGCTTCTTTCATATTAAAAGTTACAACATGGTCTCCTACTTCTATTTTTATATAGCTATGTTTCATGCTTATGATAGTCTTGGAAGTTTGCAGGAAAGGTCTTCCCAAAATCAAAGTGCTTTCATTTGCAAGTTCATTTGACATATCTAAAACATAGAAATCAGTAGGGAATACTAGGTCCTTGACTTGGACTAGAATGTCTTCTATGATTCCCTTGCGATACCTGATAGGCCTATCTACTAGTTGGAGTACTACACTTGTGTCTTTGATCCTATTAATCCCTAGAGCCAAATAAACAAACCAAGGCATGACGTTTATGGCAGCACCTAGATCTAACAATGCTTCCTTAATGTGAACCTTTCCTGTGGTGCAGGGGATGGTGTAAGACCCAGGATCTTGGCACTTAATCAGTAGTTCAGATTTGAATAAAGATGACACATTAGCACTCACCTGAATTCTCTCAAGGGGCCTAAACCTTTGCTTGTCATTACACAGTTCCTTAAGTAATTTAAAGTATTTAGGATTCCCTCTTAAGAATTGAATTATGGGTAAATTGATTTCTAGTTTGTTAAACAATGTGTAGGCATCAGTAGCAAACTCAGCATCAAACTTTTTCTTACCAGAGAAATAGGCTTTAGGAAAAGGAAGATCTTTAGCACATACCTCCTTACCTACTGGCTTAGAGGCTCCTTGGTTGCTAGTCTCTGGCTTGTCCTCCTTTTGCTTGTCTTTGTGAGTCAAACTCTCTACAGTGCTCTCATTTTCTAGCACAGCTACTTGAGATGCTTCTTCTTGTGCTTGAGTTGACTTCTCTTCTGGTTCAATGTGTGCTCTTGCCTTCATCATGAGCTCTTCTTCTTTGGAGCTCTCAGACTTGCCAAGTCTCATTAGGGAAAGTGGAGGACTCTCTACCTCTTGTGCATAATCATCCTTGTCTACTTTTTCACTTTCAAAGTGAACCTTTTTACCACTTCTTAGAGTTATGGCGTTGAGCCCCTTTAGATTGATCACTGTATTGGAAGGAATATTGCCTCCGCTTTTAGCTTGCATGTCATTGACCGCATTAGACAATTGGGTTAAATGACTGGTGATATCAATGTTCTTTAAAGTGAGCTCCTCCAGTTTCTTATGAACAATTGAGTTATCTTTTTGCATCCCTTGCAATATGGTGGTTATGGAAACAAACTTGTCATCACTTTCCTTCATTCGACCCTCTATGTTTGTCATCTGAGCAGCCATGCTTTTTAAAAGCTGAGAAGTGTCATCACTTCTTAGCGGTGGTTGAGATGCCATGGTGTTAGGTGGAGTTGTCACCACTGCTCTTGAAGGATCTGGAAATGTGCTTAAAGAAGCCCTAGGATTGTGGAACTGATTGCCTTAGAACTGGTTTGGTCTATTTGCTCCCCCATCCTATTCGAAGTTTGGATGATCTCTCCAACCGGGGTTGTAGGTGTTTGAGTAGGGGTCCCTTTTCTGATATTGCCCCCTCTTCCTTGGTACATGGCATTTACTTCTTCAACCGGCCTAGGGCAATTAGCAGTAGTATGCATTGGTGAACTATAAAATTCACAACTTGTAGCTACTAATGCAAGGGATTGAATCTTATTAGATTGGGAATGGTAAATCCCAATAAGTTGTAAGAAATCTTACATTACTCCTTTCATTCAAGCATTTAGATTTAATGTTTTGATGATTTGAAAACTAACTTGAGCGTCAAAGTGGATAGAAAGTTGTTTTACAGGAAACTCTGTTTAGATATCAAAAAATAGAGGTAAACAGAGTATTGAAGATTGATGAAGACATTGATAATTACGCTGTGAAGATGGCCTAAATTATCAATCACTTGATCGATAAATAAGGCATATGGAATAGAGTAGAAAAGGTGGAAGGAGCATTATTGATAAGCTGATCGATCACTCAATTGTCGATCAACAATAATAAAGAATCGTAGTCAGAAGAGTCAAATGGGTAAGAATTATTGATAAATTGATCGATAAACTGTTGATTAATCAAATGATCAATAAACCAAGCCAAT